GTCATCGGCCGCGGCAACGGGCGCGCCTTCTGCGCCGGCGGGGACGTCGCCAGTGCGTCTTTTACCCTCGTTCCAGCATTCTGACCCTAACCCCTCCAACTCAACTCAACCTAACCTAATCCAACCAACCCAGGCGTAGTCACCCAAGCCGCGAATCCCTCCACGCGTCCGCGCGCAATCGAGTTCTTCAAGCGCGAGTTCGAGCTCGACTACCTCCTCGCCGCCCTCGGCAAGCCGTACGTCGCCGTCATGGACGGGATCACCAGTACGTCCTGCTCTGTTCTACCATAAGCGTCAGATGTGGAGTGTGGTTGCTGATGTGTGCGGTAGTGGGCGGCGGCGCGGGCCTGTGCATGCAGGCGCCCTTCCGCATCGCGACGGAGAAGACGATGTTCGCGATGCCCGAGACGAAGATCGGGTACTGCCCCGACGTCGGCGCGAGCGCGTTCCTCGCGAGGTGCGTCCCGTCCTGTTCGAGACGCGAACGAGACGCGCTGACGGGTGCTGCGACAGACTCGACGGCGAGCTCGGCACGTACCTCGCGCTCACGAGCGAGATCATCTCGGGGCGCGAAGTCTAGTACGTCCTCTCTCCACAATTATCTGATATCGAAGCAACAAACGGATGAATGGGGGATATCACAGCGAACTCGGCCTGGCGACGCACTTTGTGCCCAGCACCTCGCTCCCCGCGCTGCTGCGCGCGCTGCAGGCGCTCGAAGAGCCCTCGTGGGAGGCGGTCGACGCGACGATCGAGGGGTTCTACATCGCGCCCGAGGAGCTAGGCGTCGGCGGGGACTTTGAGGGACAGGTGCGTCGCCGCCTTTCCTTTCCCTCCGCTCCCTCCGCCGTTCTTTCACTTCTGTTCTTCCGTTATTGTACGAGTCCAGGGAGTCGCCGGGAACTGATGGATATTCCAGGTGAATAAGGAGCAGGCAGAGGGCGTCCCCCCCTCGGAGCGCTACGCGCGCACGCAAGGCGGACAGCCGCAGACGCAAGCTCCCGGGCAATCGAGCGTCCTCGCCCTCCCCACCGGCCCCCACTCCGGCGCGGTCCGCGCCGCGATCGACCGCGCGTTCTCGCGCCCCTCCGTCGCGGGGATCCTGCACGAGCTGTCCCACCTCGCCGAGCACGGCTTGGCTCTCCCTTCTGCTAGTAATGCGGAAGCAGAAAAGGAGCAGGTGAAGAAGTGGGCGGGGAGGGTTATGGGGGTGTTGGGGATGCGGAGCCCGACGAGTTTGGTGGTGAGTCTGGAGGCGCAGAGGAGGGGACGGGAGGCAGTGAGGGGGTGGCCGGCGAGCGGGCTTCTGAGGATGGAGTTGGGCATTGCGACTGCGTCGGTGGTGAGTGGTTCTTTCCGTCGTGTTTCGGTTTTGGTGTGGTTTCTTCTTTTGTTTTCATGTTCGACTCCGGTCTGGGCTTTGTCCATTTTTGTGCTTTCGAGACCCTTTTCGTTTCGTCAGTTTCCGCGCTCTCTTTACCGGCGCAAGCCAATCCTGCTCGCGTGGGTGAAGTCGCGCAGTGTCCCGGATTACGACGAATGATGAACATCGATGAACGCACACCTATGAACGCCCGCTGAAGCGTCCAGCGCGAGTTCTATCTTTTGAAGCATTTGTTTACATTCTAGTTCTCTACACTACCGACTACCCCCACGTGACCACGAGCCGATGGTATGCTACGCCTACCTTCAGGTCTATCCCCTCTGCCGTACTCGCTGGCGGTCTCGCCTGCTGCATCTCTGTTGCCTCCCCTCGGCCGGCGCACGACAGTCATGAGCCTCGTGGTGGACTGTATGGGCCGAACCCCTCTCCATGTGATCCACTACCCCGCTGTGCAAGAGGGATTGGCGCCGGCCTAATGCAGCTTCTCCCCACCTCAGCAAGTCCGCGCTGCCTCTCCCGGCGCTCGTCTGCCCCTCCCTGTATTCTACTACACTAGGGCACGAAGGCAACGGCGAGGGGTTTTCCTTCCTCCTTGGTTTACGTACGGACGGCACCAGAAGGCGCCGTCGTCGCGGACGCGGACTCGACCTCTCGGGAGTCGACGCGTTGCACGACGGGTGTACGGGAGGCTAGCGAGAGGGTGTCTGGCCCTTCACGAAGGTGAGCACTCCGTCACGGCGACCGTCGCAGCCGTTCCCGCAGGCTCGTTCGCCAGCGGACAGGGACTCGACCTCACGGGAGTCTAACCTGTCCTTGGGACGAGGGCCAGTGGCTGGGCGCTGGAAGCAAAGCGGACGGGTGTCTATGGTGGCGATACACCCTATTGTAGTCTAGTCTATTGTGTTGTCAAGTTATTAGCAAGTCAATGAAGATCATTGACTGCACGCTGTCCTGCGTGAATATTGAGCTAATGACCGACCATATCGCAAAGGACTGACCTTCATATATCTCATTCCCCTTACAACTAGACCCGAATGAACGTTAGTAGTCGGACGTTCACAGGAGTCTATGTGATGAGCGGATCCTCAATCTCTAATGGTCTATAGATGTCTAATCAACAATGTCAGCACCATCACTAAGCTATGCTGAACGATTTGACGCTTACCCGAAGTCTATAGGACCCGCTCTTGCCGACTACAAGGAGCGTTAGATTACTTTTACTGTAACTACTCTCTGATGACGGGACCGTGAACGGCAGTCCCGGCGAAACCGGTTCTTCGAGGACTTCCTGGTAACTGCTGATACTACATAGCAGGGGCTGTACTTCACAAGGCGACTGCGTAAGTGCATTAGCGGCCACCCAATTCATCTATACTCATTACGGACTGTACCTACTGGTGGCAATAATCCGGATCCAAGTGGTGTTGAAGTAACTAATGAACGTCCGGTCAATACAGAGAGCACAATCAATACAGGAGTGCACGTACCTGTACATAAGGAGGTGTCATCTGCACCCGTCAGTTCGTGAGCAGCAGCCTATTTCGAGATGACAACATGTCAGCAAATCACTACGAATGTCGGACAGCATACCGTGCTCGGGCTAGTCTGTTCACTGGACAAATCTAGACGCAGCGCGAGAGACTGCATATGAATAGCTCTGAAAGAGGGTCGAGTAAGGAAATCAGGCTTAAACACGTTGTAGAGGATGTACCATACCATGATGATCAGTCGTAACAGTCAGCAAAGACATGCTACTATTGCCGCATACGGGGAGTCTTGTCAAGGCTACGGCGACGGACTAGAGGCATGGAAATGATCAGTCGCAGCAAGCTAGCGGATAGAATGTCGACATACAAGACGACGTGCACGGTACCAGTGACGACGGACGAGGGGGCAAAAGACGAAGGGTGGTGGGTGCATTCCAGTAAATAGACGAGCCGTATTTATACCTGTCGGAGGCACCCCAGACCTTGCATTTCCCGAAACGCCCGCTCGTCGAACGACCCTATTTCCCGAACGAACGTACGAGACTGCGCGCGCCGGCTTCTCGCGCTGGACCAGGAACTCGCGATCGGGAAAATGCCGCGTCTCACTGCGATGCAATCGTAATGTACGTACCCTCGCTAATTCTGCTCCAGCAGTACGTGAGCTAGCTGAGCTCGATGGCGGTGATGTAGTGTTCTCCACTGTTCAGCATTGTTCGTCTCGATTGCTTCAAGCTTGCCTCAACCACTCTTTACTCTCCGCTTCCCAAGAGTAGACGGTTGCAACTTCGAAGAAATGCACACCCAGCGAGTAGAATTATAGTGACATAAGTTTAGAGAACCTACGAGCATCCGTTAGCGACCGAAGCAGAATCTACTCCCTGGAGTTTACTCACCGCCTCGCATATCCCTGTCCTATCACGTACGCCTGCAACAGGATCCAGCTAACCCTGAACCGCCTGCCAGCCGGATCCACGCGGAATGTGTACCGTGACTCATGGAGAGCTTACATGTTATCGGAGCTTCTCGCCGCGAGAAATTCCGAGGGCATCTTCCAGGCCGAGTGAAGACTGCTAACTCCAGAAAATGCCGGCCGTGTGAGATGTTTCAGTGTGTTCACTTGTTCGGCGCATGCAAGCCAGGGTTACGTCTCGTCTGCCGCGTAGCCGTTCGGCGTCGTATCCAGCCGCAAGGTAGTCGGGTGTGTCGCACCGTCTCGGTGACACACCTGGAAGTGGATTCTTTGCAAAGCAGACGTTACAGTGCTAGCAGTGCCTATGTCCACATGTGCTGCATCTCTGTGGTAGATCCTGTCCCATACTACAGTTTTCGTATCCTGGAAGGAAAGGTATTATTCAACGGCCGGATATGATGTACGAAGCAAAAGACACGTACCTCACGTTTCTCAGACGTGCAGCATTCGATCGCGTAGAGGACTGACACCGCCGTAACCTCCTTCGCTCGGCAAACAGGGCACATACCCTTCCTGGTTGGCCCTGCAGATCCTCTGTATTCGCGCATCTCGCACTTTGCGCTCTGTACGCACTCCTTCTGCCTCGCGAAGCGTAGCAAGGCCACAGGCAGGGTATAGTGAGTGGGGCAATGCCTGGTCTGCCTCGGACGCCTGCTTCTCCTCGTAGATTAGATTATCTCGGTGTGCAAGCTCGGATATGATGACATTCGATCGACTGGACGGCGCTTTGTCTGTAGGCAGATTGTCCAAATACCAGACAGTCTACCAAGCGGACAAAGCGCCTTCAGGCATTCTAAGCTCTACTCATACAACCACGGTACATAGGAGAATGCAGAAAGCGTCGACGTCCATTGGCGAAAAATACAGGTTGGGAGGGCTCCAGAATACTCAGCTATCGATCAGTCCTGCATTATCCCTCCCTTTCGCTCCTTGTCGACAACACCTCTTGTAGAACTCCTTTCGTGTTCTGAATCCATTGAAGCATTGTTGACAGACGTGGAGAGCTCGTTGAGCCGCGAGTATCGCCGGTCAAGAGGATATGGAAATCGTGCGGGGAAGTCCTTTGTTCATGACTGCGTGCATGACTTCCACAGCATCTCAGCACGCAGGATATATACACTAGCATTTTTGGATATCAAAGCGCACGACTGCAGCGTGAGCGAGAGACCGAAAGACAGCTGGGTTGAATGGAACCGTAATCGAGGGCAGCGAACGCATGCCTCAATAGAGTCGTGTCTCGCGGAGTTTCCTTAGCGAAAGACAGTTCTCCTGCTGTCTATAGCAGCTCGGCAGATAGACGAGTGAGCACTTGGATAGCTGGTAGGATACGTCGAAGAACAAGACTCAAAACAAGGCGTACAAGTGCTGCAGCCAGAGCACTTGTGGCGCGACTTGATCAGACGCGGACAGAGCTCTTTTGCACATCAACTGCCATCTTCGTCTTTACATCCGACGCTCATGCGCAGACCTTGCGTTGTACTTACCGCTTAGGCGAACATATCGCAGATTGCAGCATGCCATATTAGTGGAATTCCATTGCATTATTGAACCCTGTTATAATACAACATTTTCCTAATCTATGTATGATCAGTTGAAGCTCGACTCCGGATGCATTGACATTTGCACTCACAAAAATATAGACACCCTATTGTTTCATAGGGACGAGCCGCAGCCTCTCGAGGATGATGGAAGGATACAGAAATATAGATAGGATATTGGGTAGCCAGCCATTGACCGGTCAATGTAAGTCAACATTCAGTGTATAGAGGGAGCCACTTCTCATTTCGCGAGTGCCGAGACTTGTCCGAACTCCAGCAACCGGCTGCAGGCCATTGGATGAAGCCGGACAGTCTCCCTGAACTCACAGAGCCGCCTCGCAGCAGTACTCCGGAGTTCGGACTTGGTGCGGATTTCCTCTGACTATCTAATCTACTGTAGATCTATGCTGTTATGTTGACTCACCTCCTTTTGACGATCAAAGCTGTCCCTGGACCTGGAGAAGCTGGTGCCTTCTCTGGGATCAGGGTCAGACTTCTTTTAGTCAGTAAGCCGCTTAGCCAACCCTCAGACGGCCTCAATGCCTCGATAATGGCAAAGAATATTCACTCCTGAGGTCTGAAAGACTGTGTAACTTAAGATGTCTGAAATAATGTTGAGGAAACTGCTATCATTCTCTTACTGCCATTCTGAGTTGTTCATGCAGGGACATTTAATTACCTAAAGTCGCAGATTCCAGAGATCGGACTTGATCAGGGCCAGCAATCACTGCCGGAATGCTTCCCTAAGAAGCCACTACCGCGTAGCAATGCTACGCCATTGTGACTTCTCAGGGAAGTGTTGCGGTAGCCGATGTATGGCCCTGACTTCCGGAGCACTGGGTATTAGTCACGCCAGGAAACTATTTCCGAGACGTGCAATATATACACCTGCCTCACATACGTGTACCACCTTGCCCGTCTTTACGCCCCCCGTATGCTTGTCCTCTTTGTCAGCGCTGGTCTCTGCACATCCTGTCGCACTCAGGTGCTTGAGCAGCGACGACGTGAGTCACACCTATTTTTGTGGCCTTCTAGTGTCCTCACATCCTGCCCTGCAGAATCTCGACACCAACATGTTGCACTCGATGTGCCCATATTCGTCGCGTCCCTTCGCCACGCTGCAGTTCCTGCATCAAGCATCCACTGGCGCAGCTTGAGCAAGGCCCGCTGTCATGGTGTCTCCAACTCGAACAGCCGAAGGTATGTCCATGATCAATACGTACTTGTATTTCGTTGTAATATCGCTAATGCTCGAAACTCGTAGACAACAGACAGACACGTCTGCGAGAGCAGGGAGCGAGAGATAAGAGTGATCGTGATCGCTATTGGACGAGTGGCAGTGCACCGCACGTGGTCGACATCGCCTTCAATCGCCTGCCAGTGCCTGCGACGCTCATGGACGACTGCTTGTCGACACTCGTTGCGCCTTGCAGCTCTGAGGTCCCCCCTTTCCTATCTAGGATGCAGCAGCTCTTTCAGATTTTGGGCCTTGGACAAAGGCCAATACCCGGGTATGTCTTTCTGCACTGACTGTATATAGCTGTGTATCCGCGCACACTGATTGCAGACTCTGCTTCACAACGGGTGCGTTAGTAGCATGAAACACGGACGACTTACATGATCGGTACCGATGGGGAAAGGATGCAGGAGAACGGGACGGAGGGGGGACTGTATCGCGCGCTGAGCTCTGCGAAGGTCGAGCACAAGGGACGCAAGCACGCGCCGGTAAGTTGCCGTTGCCACTCGAGGATCTCGTCCTCATACCGAAAGCTACAACATTTGCAGGGGCTCAGTGGCGAGGCGATCTTGTTTTGCAACGATGCGACCCTGCAAGACATTCCCACCAAAGTACCCAGTTCGTCTCGCCACATTTCCAGCCTTGCGGCGCCCTCGAAGGTTCACGGATCCTGTTTGTTACCGACACCGCCTGTTTGATGCTAATAAACACTGCAAGTCCTGTTTGAGGAAATGCCATATTTCGGCGGATCCGCTGACATCTGCAAGTTGACTTCGAACTCAGGGTGTCATTCAATACTACAGTATACGGAGATTGGTACGTTTCCGTTTAGCTACTACCTAACGACCGTCGGCTGACTGCTATTCAGTTATGTAGTCTGTAGACACGGATGGAATATATTATATTTTGAACTTTATATCCGTTACCTCTTCGGCGCTGCGTGAACGCGACTCTTGTGAATGATGGCACAACCCATCTTCTCCCTCGCCGTAGACGCTTCCTTGGATCTTCGGGTAGCCGCCATTCTCCAACACTGCCCGCTGTTCTCTGTCATGCTCGCGATGAGCTAGCTGTTTGCCTATGTCACGCTTCCCCTCTCTTTGTGAAAGGCTGAATCATTTGATCTCCGGTGAGCAACGAGCAAGACTAAAGCCTACGATCTCTGGGATCTTCTCGTGCAGTTGGACACCTTTGGCGGGCGGCATCTCGTGAAGACTCTGTAGGTATAAATCATGTCCCGGGCGTGCGAGACGCCTCGGAGACAGGGCATGCATGCCGTTTCCCATTCTCTTTCCTGATGCAGTGAGTACCATTATGTTGTGTATAACCTCCCGCTAACATCAATCGTGCTTAGATGGGGATCAGGCGTGTCGCGCGGGGCTGTCATCATCAAGTCCTTCAGCGACTTTTGATAAATATAGTGCGCTTCGCGCTAGACTCCCTGTGGAGACGGTATGCATGCTGTTTCCCATTCTCTCATTGTGCTGCTGTAAGGCGGCATCCCTTTCCATATAGTGTGTAACTGACATCGGACCAGCTAGGCTTCCACAATGTAGTTCGCAGCGCCCGGAGGGCAGCATTCCAGTGCTGCTCTGTCTCCTTAAGAAGCACATCCTCCATTTATACCCATGGCTTTCCCGACATTCCCTGTGTCTCGAGGTTGTCTCCAGCGAAAACAGCACGTACAGACGGTTGGCAAGCAGTCTTCGGCCGCTGCGATATCCCTGGATTTCTCAATATCGCTGTATTTCCTTCCGGGTGCGGCGAGCACTGTCTGAACACTTTTTCCTCTCGCGTCCCCCCGTGCTCGCTACGGTCACTTGTGCGCTGTCATCGACATTCTGCGCCCGAAGTATGCTTACAAGTGAAGACGTGCGGAAATGGCCTGCACGCCGTTTCCCATTCTCTCTCATGCTGTAAGTCCCGTTACCTTTGCGGAGCGGTCTCTCACTGATACCCAGCCTTGTCACCGAAGGCCGGGCACGCTGAAGATGTACGAGTGGCGTTACTTGTGTACGTACATATGCTTTGGGCGACTTCTCCCCCTGCCAGCATGCAACGCCTGGATTGAACTGTATCTACAACAGGTGATGACAACTACGGCGGTGCATGCACCGCTCGTTCATCATTGCGATGACACTGTGACTCTCCCTCAGGTGTCCGTCTACCCTCCGCTCAGCAAAAATGGGACCACTCGACACCGCGCAAGCAGGGTCATCGCGCAAGACCAAGTCTACGACAATGGCAGCGCCTCTGGCCCTCCCCTCGAACGTCAACCCGTCCAGTCAGCCAAGACAGGACGAATTGACGCCGCGCGAGCGATATCATCTTGCAAGACGAGTTCACGATGACGGCAGCTTCTATAACCCCTCCCCTCGAACATTGACCCGTCCAATCAACAAAAACAGGACGAATCGACGCCCCGCGAGCAGGGTCATCGCGCGCTCGTCGCCGTGGACACTTCTCACTCTCCACGCCGTCTCGCCAGCACCGGTGCTCGAGGAGTTGTCGTCATCGAGCGCGACGCTCCCGAGCGTGGATTCCGCGGATTGAAGTCTGGTGAGGTATGCTGTCATGATTTTCCTCATTGTCCCGTGCTAACCTATACTCTTCCACTTCCTTGCTTCGCGTCTCTCCTTCCCCATTGTCTCCCTCGTCCACTCTAGCGCTCTGCGACAAAATCAGGACGTACCTGCCTCCCACTGATGACGCGCTGGCGCCCTCCTTCTCCGCTCCATTCGCTGTCGCTGCCCGCTATAATGTTCCGTCGGTGGACGATCATGGGACAGATCGTCGACCCGGGAGCGACGATACCTTGCGGTTAAGGTTACAAGTGACGGCACCCCATCGACTCGCCGGCGCCGACTCCCGTTGCTGAACGCAGATGGGACCTTTGCCCCATCCTGCCGTTCTCCATTGCTGTAGGGCTCTTTTGACGCCTCCCGCACTCTCGCCAGGCCTCCCAAGCCACAGTTGGCAATGACACGACGAATCGTCGTCCCGCCAGCGGGTGTTTTCTGCTGGCTGTTCACGGCATGAGGTGTTCTCCTATTCGAAGGCCCAGGTACACCGAGACGGGACGTATCTACGTCCCGCACGCGGGGGTCACGCAGTACCCTTGCCTTCGTCGACGGGCTTCTTGTCTGCCGCTGTACTCTGACACTCGCTCGCTCGCGGCAAGCCAGTCCTAGCCGTAACTGCTTCCTCTGCTATCCTCCTCCCTCTCCGTCTCCCCTGTGCCTGTTGCCCTGTCGTCAACAGCCTAAGGCCCTATCCATCGAAGACTATACAGATCGCCGTCCCGAGAGCAGGGCTCTCTCGTTGATGTCATCGTGTCCAGCCTCCTGCCGACAAACACAGGACAGATCGGCACCTCGCGAGCGGAGTCGCGGCGCTGAGTGTCTGTCTGTCTTTCTCGCCTCGACGGACTCACCGCTCCTGGGCGCTCTCGACATCACCGCCTCCCTCGTATCCTCCCGGCATCACAAACTAGGGACAGATCGGCGCCCCGCGAGCGGGGTCGTTGTGCTGTCCGTCTGCTGAACATCTTCTGCCTGGCACATTCCCCCTCTTGCTTGGTGCACTCGATCTCCTCTCTCTGGTGCTCTTGACATCCCCACCTCCCTCGCGAGACGATCACGGGACAGATCGACACCCCGCCAGCGGGGTCGTCGCGCTGTCTGTGTCCTCGCGCCCGCACTCACGACCCCGCTTCCCGCGCGGCCTTTATCCGCTTGAGCCGACAGTCATGCAGCTCGCTCGACGAAGATGGGACGAATTGACGCCCCGCGAGCGGGGTCATCGCGCGGCGTCTCTTTGACCGCGAGCTCTTTTATCTCGGCTGCGTCCCTGACTCGAACCCGCCGCCGGCGGAGAAAGGCGTTTGAAGGCCCCGCAGGAGGCGGTTGGACGTCCGGGGAGCGGGGTCACTCCCCGGTACGGGCACATCGCGACATTGGGAAACGCGTCGGAGCGAGGATACGCGCGTAATGCAGGCAAGACCCGTGTCGCGGGGTAGGAATGAGCGAGGGGTCGCGCTCGGTGATGTAGGGACGAATCGGAGGCCGGTGAGCGGGCTGGGGCGAGCGATGGTGCGTATTTCACGATTTCTAAAGAAAACACACCTGATTCGAGCGGTAGAAATACAAACAGGTGCGTCTAAGCATATTACATGCTTTCCCCGGCTCTCCAGCTTGAAATCAAGTGTTCCCCGGCGATACTATCCATATACAGAGCGCGTTCGGTGAAGTTCGAGTTGTATGCGCAAAGTGGATCGGGGTAGTACAGGCTATTGAGATGTTGTATTAGACCCAATAAACCGCCTAAGATGCATAGCGAGCGACTAGTACTCACTCCTACAAAAGAGACCTTGATAGTATGGGTGTTGAGGGCCGGGTCAAGGAGACTTGCAGCTTTTTTTTTATTTGGTTCCAGCGCCTACGCCCGGCTATCAGTGCACAAACACAAAATACGGGGTCGGGCAGCCGACGACAGGGCAGCAGACACTTACTTTCCACCCACTTTCGACGGCCTGACTCGCGACCACCACCGCGGCTCTGCAGTCTCGGGATAGCGTGACCAAGCATGGCCCTCCCACATCTAATCTACTCCGCAATCCTGACGACGACCTCGGCGCCCTCGTCCAGGCCGAGCCACTCGACCTCCTTGGCGCCGTCGCGCGCGGCGTCGAGCTCGGCCTCGGAGCCGTCGCCCGGGAGCTTGAGGAATATGCGGATGTCGTCGGGTTTGAGTTTGGGTACGGGGGGAGACGGCGCAGGGAGAGACTTGAGCAGCTTGAGCACGCGGAGGCGGAAGGTGCGCAGGGGGGTGGTGGGGAGGATGCGCAGGGGGGTGGGCGGGTGGGAGGGGAGGTGGAGGGTTATCTCTGGCGGCATGAATGGTGTTAGATGGCTTTGGGGTAGGGAGGAAGGGAAGGCGGGGAGGGCTGAGGGAGGGACGCACGGATGAGCTTGTCCGCGAGCTTTTCGTGGTCTGGGCGCGTCCGGCGGAGGGAGGGCTCGTCGGGCTGGCCGTGTTCTGTTTGGGTTGGCGGGTCAGCGTCGCGGTTCGGAAGCAAACAAGGGCGGGAGAGGAGACGTACTCTCGACGAGCTCGGCATACCGGCCCCAGCTGGCGCGGTCGGGCGCGGGGACGTGCTGCGTGATGTGGGAGAGGTAGAGGAGCTCGGCGTCGAGGCGGTCTTTGGGGGTGATCTAGGTGGGGTCAGTTTGGCAGGTGACGAGAAAGAGGGGGCGGGGAAGGACGGACGGGCGCGCCGTCGAGAGAGGTGAGCGTGGGCAGCTTGGCGATGGCGAACGCGCGGGTGTACGAGCCTGTGTTCGGATCTGTAGTACTACCATCAATATATACGGCTAGCAGGGGCACATAGACGGATGTGACCGACCGTCGAGCAGGGGAATCGCGCGGATCGCGAGCCCCTCGAGCGCGGGGCACCACCCGCGCAGATTATCGACGCTCGCCCAGTCCGCGAGGGGGTTGCCCGAGAGGGAGAGGTGCTTGAGGGTGCCGAGTTCGGCGGCGGAGGGCGCGGGCGGGATGGCGGCGATGCGGTTGGACGCGAGGACGAGGCGGGTGAGCGCGGGGAAGAGCGGGGAGAGCGCGGGGAGGGCGGCGAGGAGGTTCGTGTCGAGGTTGAGGAGGGCGAGGTTGGCGTGCACGTGGGCGGGGCAGGAAGGGGAGAGCGGCGACGGGAGGGAGAGGGAGTTGTATCCCGCCTCGAGGGTGTGTAAAGAGGGCAGGAAGGCGAGGATGGTGAGCAGGGATGGCCAGGGGGTGAGGGTCGCGTTGAGCTGGAGCTCGGTGAGCGACTGGAAGGAGGTGGGCAGGGGCGGGGAGGGAGGAGAGGCAGGGAGCGGGGACAGCGCGAGGCGGGTGGAGTTGAGCGCGAGGCGGGTGAGGTGCGGAAGTTGCGCGGTGAGGGTCGCGAGCGCGGGCCAGGAGGGGAGCAGGTTCAGCGAGAGGTCGAGGCCTCTGATGTCTGCGTTCTTAGTTCTTCAGCGTTTCAGCCGATTCACAATAATACGCCACACGCACTCGGACAGCGCTCCGCGACCTGCGGCGGCTGCTCCGCCCACGCGATGTGCGCGCCGTCGAGCGAGACCTCCACGAGCCGCGCCAGGTCGGCGAGGTTCGAGCGGACCTTGGCGAGCCCGACGGCCTCGACCTGGATGAGCCCGTGCGACGAGCCGAGCGTGACGACCTCCTTCGAGGGCGCGGGCGAGTCGTCGATGTACTTTTCCGCGAGCGCGGCGAGGAAGGAGCGCCCGTACGACAGGCCTTTCACGGCGGGGCGGATGAAGGACGCGGCGGTGGGGTGGTCGGTCCTATGGAAGGGTTGGACGGGAGCGGGGACAGAGGGAGGAGGTACGTACGCACAGCGAAAGTAGCGCGTGCCGTCTTTGCACCCGTCGTGCTTGCCCCGCTGCGGGTCGTCCCACTCGACGCCGAGCCACGTCCCGTGCGTGCCGTCGACGGGGCCGACGTAGCGCACAGTGCCGAGCGAGTTGTTGAGCGCGATGCGCGCGCCGACGGGCGGGGACGTGTCGGGCATGGCGAACAATGGATTGTGGCAAGAGCAGAGATACTCGAGAAGCGCCGGCTGTCGCCGGTGGTATATCTTGCGACCAGGCCAAACGCGTCTCTCCTGCCACCCCCTAGTCTTTGAAAATAACACGGATTTGCATTTCATATGATAATATCGAACATCTCCCATTCTCTAAGATTCGCCCAGATACAGTATATTTATATTGCCAGTGTCTCTGCGGGCCTAAGCATTCAAGGTTTGAAGAATCCAGAACTGCAAGTGGCAGGGCATCTACCACTACACATTGCCAGGACCCGGCTGCCCCGGGCCCGCTCTCATCTCTTCCCCGTGTATCCTGTGCTGACATGGTATGTACAGCTTAGTACATCAATGTCCCCGACTGCTGATATTCTTATGGCATCCAATGTTCAAGTATATTGTGCTCTGCTCATTTCAGCTGGCACATTGATATCTCCAAGCATGAGTGCAATACTTGTATGTTGTAGTATTCACCATCAAACATGACCCATGTACCTCACAGGTCGTAATTTAAATATTCTAGGATGTGAGTGAGTGCTGCTCACTACTTAGTACTGTGGCAGCATATGTGAGTAGCTGAAGGGATCAGACCCAATGCTGTGGGTATGTAGGATGCAGGCACATTTGGGAATAGGCTGTGAGTTGCCTTACTCCCTCTATTCTTCACTGTAAGTTCTCATAGTCCTCTATCAGTCAGAAAAATTTAGTTTGTTAGCATTTCATATCATTCACCTTTGCAGTGTCATTCTTCAGGGTCCAATAAATGGTATGAGTAAGTGTATAAGAGCTAACTTTATGTGCCTAGGAAACTGCAGTATCAGAATTACCTCTGCCAATGTGATTCTTCCCTCCCAGTAAGCAGTTCTAATTGGGACTAATAGTGGCAGTCAGACTGAGCAATTCCCGGTGGATTCACGCAGCGATTCTGCTGTGATTCCCGGTGCTGAACCTCACACCGAATCCACGGGTACCCTGACCGACACGATTCAGGTGGTGGTTTCCGTTATCAACTCAGGGCATGGAATCAGGCTTGTTATACTATGATGTTAGTTCTATCACTATAGCTTGGGTAGAGTATTTATTCTATGATTTCTATAGACTGACTGATTATGCCCTCATCATCTGTCACCTTTTGTGCAGTTGTCTGGACCTGGAGGCTTCTTGGCATGGCTATAGAGTGATAGAACGCAACTCAGATGGAGGGATACTTCCTATATGGCTATAGGGAGGTATATAGTTGAGGTAGACTAGATGAAGACCATATAATTTTTGTAGCGGGCACCAGTCTTGTATAGGAGTAACAAAAAGGAACAAATTTGTACCCTCGTATGCGTGCTCAATTGCGATTCAGGGGCATCAATGCACCTCCAGAGTCACATCGACACGATTCAGGATTCAGGCCCGAATCGTGATTCTGGGTACCAGAATCCATACTTGAATCCAAGCTCTGAATCGCCTGTGAATCACTCACTTTGACTGTCACTAATATGTACTGTGTATCCTCAGACATCTTCGGCCAGGTCTAAAATGGACCACACAGTCCCGGAAGACTTGCTGCAGTGAATGAGTAGCAGTTGTTCTGAATGACAAATAAGAACTTATATAGTAGTCTCTTGTTTGACTGACTATTACTGCATCAGTGATCTGTGGGAAACACCGCGAGTCTTTGGAAAATGGGGAATGCTGAGGCTATGTAGAGACGGATATATTGGAGTGCGGGAAGGGGGTGGATACAGCCCCCCTTGCAGTGATCGCTCTCGGGCCGGAACCCAGACAGAGGCCAGCTGGAACAGGTTGTCCGCAGATGAGGCAGAGCCAAGTGGCCCAGAGAGCAGATCAAAGAGCCTGATCACCCCACCAGACAAGGTGAGTAGGTGGAGGGGTAAGACCAAGGGGTTGAGAAGGGTTCTGGAGAAAAAGTTGGTGGTGGAGGGCAGCAACTGTGGCAGGTGGGGTGTCAATGTAGAGACGGTAGCAGTCGGAAGTCCAACGGCCTAGATGCTGAATGTCGGCATCTGACAAGCCAACAAGATGAGCCCAGGTAGCACAGGGTTGTCAGTGACTACGTTAATACTACATTAATACTGTGGGAATGACCAACTGACTGTTGTGACGGTAATCTGGTCAGTAGTCACAGTATATATGGTGGCTGAGGGCCTGGGCAGCTGGGTACAACTATTATTTCATGCCTGCGGTACACTAACCAAGATCTAAGTGGCCGTAGTGGGCTCTATAATGTATCTTAATGCCAATGCTAATCTTTTGCATGCAGAGCAGAGCCCATAACCCGCTTTCAAACAGTTTAGCAGGTTCATATTGGTGTAGTTGCGGCAAATGGGAAATGCCAACATCCTTGCCGGTGGCATGCAAAACATCACGCTAAATTTAATACGGCGGAACATTCCACATTTTCCATTGCTATTTTGAGCTCCGTTGCCCTTCTAGCGAAGGTCCTTCAACCCACCCCCATGAAGGTCACGTGACTCAAGCTCCGGCTCGTGCCGCTTGTCAAGAGTTCACAACGTATTTAGATATGTAATGCTAAGAGCTTTAATATATTGATTTTGACTGGCACTATCAGTTCAGTCCAAGTGGGCTGGGTGAAATAAATGATAAAATATGTGCAGAAGCAGATTCTCTGAGGGAGTCCAAGTTGAACTAAAGTGGTGTTGAATATTTATTCCTGTATCCGGTCAGTTTGGACGTGATTTTGACGTGATTTGAACGGGGTTTTTGACGTGACTTTGACCAAATTTTTGATGCAACCTTGACGGGTGCTGCGGGGTTTTGACGGTATCTTGTTATGAGTTTGTTTACGGGGTTTTGCCGTGATTTATGACTTATTATAGTTTTTTGTAGGTGTTATGAGGGGGGACATGCTGTCCCCCCTCAACCCCCCCTTGCCTGGGGGTTCCCCCCAGACCCCCTACGGGGGGCCATTGCATTTCCCCCCGGACCCCCCCTTGCTTCTTTTTTCCTGCTGCTGTTGATTATCAGCTTTCTGTGGTTATATTTTATGTTGTAAGTAATCTGAAAATGGAGATTTCCCACTTTTGGCAGGTAATTTGATGTCTGATTTTATTCTGTGTCAGGCTCCCGGCATTTTTGACCCATGAGTTATGTCTAATAGTGTTTCCGTAGCCAGGGTGGCCAGCACACGGCCACCCAAGGGTACGGTGTCTTCCACCACCCAAAGACAGCCAGGGTGGCAAAATGAACAAATTTTGATTGAGTTATTTTCCCTTCACTTTTAGCCATATTTATACACACAAACAATACTGGGGATATAAAATACTTTTTGCCCAGCAAGCAAATCGAACCGAGGCATCCTGGATTTATATGGACTGCGTTACCAACTACGCCAAACTGCACTAGTTATGAGCCCGCGTCATAGCGATACATACCCATAGTTATATCCCTTCTACCATTTTCGGCAGTCGAGTCGTGGGTTTTGGTCACGTGCTCTCATCCCGTGCCCGCGTTTCGTGGGGGTGAGTTTGTCGCCCTCTAGCGAAAGGACTGTGACTACAGTGACCACATGGTCATACCTAGTAATTTCGGTAATAACCAACGTCATTTTGGTCACAGTCACGAATAATGACTATGACATGCCAACACTGAGGTAGCAGCCCCACAGTGGAAACTGTGGCCAGAGTAACCAGCACTGGAGATATTTGCAGCAGAGAGGCAGGCTTTGAGACAAGCAATGAAATGAGTCCGATTGAAAGGATGACGGCCACCCTGGCCATTGGGAGGACCAAGGAATAAGGGATCAGTTGCCAAGCCAGGTGAGGAGCGAAGGAGGGACTCCATGGCAGCCCAGGGGCAAGAGGGTAGATTGGTACAGGCCATGGTAAGGCTAACCCCCAGCCGGAAGGGGTCAGTCTTGGAAGCAGGGAGAGTGCAGATGAAGTAGTCATCAAACATGTGAACATCACTGCACTTCAAGCAGAAGCGAGGATCAAAGGCATCATAAGTCAGCTCACCACAACGGCAGAACCCAGCAAAGGCCACAGTGAAAGCAGCACGAAGGGTGGTGGCAAACAGAAGATCAGACACCCCGCGGGGGAGTCTGGGGCTACTCAGTGGAGTAAGGAGAGCATCCAAGAGAGGAAGAGTGATAGGGAGGTGGTCGCGATGATCCTTATCACCATGGAAGCGGTGAATGCCATGAAGAACATGCTCCAGAGTGGCAGAGTCAAAACCATAAGTGTCGTAGCCAAGGTCACGGTGGAAGGACTTCAGAGCACCACGATGGCGTTTGATGGTCTGAAAAGAGCAGGCAGGGGCTAGAGGTCCAACCCACTGGAGGAGGTAGCTGGTAGAGGCAGAGTAGGGAGCAGCGGCTCCAAATTTGCAAGCAATGAAGTGCTCAAAGGAGTGACACCCGGTGTCATTTATGGCACGGGTAGATTCCGCAAGGCCATGCCAGAGGTAGAAGGCAACTTCTGGTGGTTGACTAACCTTGTCCGCCCAAGTTGGTGGTGGTGGGGGAAGGCGGGAAGCTGGTGGCAGAAGGCAGGGATCAAGGAGCGAAGGCGAGGCATGTCAAAACAAGAAAGGGCATCAGCAAGGTAATTCTCAGAGGAGGATATCCAAACTGCATGGAAGGTAAAGGAATATGAAGCAGTGAGGAGGAAG